CATGTTGTAGAAGATATCGGACTTTTCTTCCTTTTTAAAGCTGAATAATATTCCATAGATGATTTTATCACATGTTATTTAGTCATTCATCTGTGGATGAACATTGGGTCATTTTCATCTTTTGGCAATCGTGAATAATGCTGCTATGAGCATTGGTGTAATAATGATCTTTTTTTTCAGCAATGATGAGAACAGGTCCAGGATTTTTCTGGTTCTGCCTATGAATCTAAAGTAGTCTCCCTCTTTCTTTCCAAGCTATCCTCCACCCCTAGCAATCCGATACTCTGAAAAATCAAATATTTTGCTAGTAATGACCTTCAAACTCTAGAACAGTACATCATTTTATTTCTGTCATCATTGACTTTAGCTAGATTGCACTAGGGATGGGATACATGGGGAAGATGGCATAGAGAGGCAAAACAATTCTGAACTAATTTTTCTTTCAAAATATGTTTTCAAAACTAAGTTACAAGTGTTTGGCTGCTAGCAAAGTGCTAAAACATAGGCATACTAAAGTAGGGCTTTTGACATGAGGTGAGAGATACAGCCATGTGATTTATTTATTCAGCCATTAAAGCTACTACTGTCTGCTACTTTCTGCCAGTGGGGAAATGGAAGTTTCTAAGGCCAGGGTCCTCACCTGACCCTAAACTACTTGATGATATGACTGGACTACTGCTAGGCACTGCTTCCACACCCATAGGCAATAAGCTATTATTGACTGAGTCACTATATAAAGAGCTCTGCCCAGTAGTCTGGGAGGAGTCAGAGACGAAGTTGGATTATGGACCTACAGAATGCTGAATGCCGACATGATTCCAGTGCTCAAACTGCTGCTGGGAGAATAAAACTGGATATAAATGCTTTTACGCCAAGAATGTTCTGTTGTCATTTCTTGGTCTCACTGAATCATAGTGAACTTGCCCGGGGCTGAAACATAAAAGTTCAGGGACTTGTTACTGTCTCCTCTTTCTCTAGAACGGAGCACATAATAGATAGTAAATATTTATGAAATAAGTGAGCTAATGAATAATTATAATGAACCCTTATTATGTTATAGGCACTATGAGAGGTATCAGATAACACCATCTCTATCCACATAATGCTTTAAAACCAGCTGGGGAACTAGAAACACACTACTGGATAGCACTAAACAAATTGCAGTGCTGTGCAGAAAACGAAAAGATCACTTCTACATACGGATAGTAAAGGAAGTTGTAAAGATAATGTAGTATGGGAAGACTTTTGACAGATGAAAGTATGAAAGTGCATCCCATGTAGAGTTAACAGCATGAGCAAAGACATGGTAGCAAGAATCATAATGATGAACTGTAGTTAACTTTTGAGAGTCCATTCTGTTAAACAAAATGTAGATTCTTCATTTAAGCTTCATAGCACCTTCCATTTTCCCACCCTCAGGAGGAAATAATTGTTCTTCATACTTTAAGAGAACCAAGAAATATACCTAATTAATTGGGAAACCTGGATTTGAGTTTAAGCCTTCAGGTCCCATAGCCTGTGATTCCACCCACTAGATTATGTTCAGTGAGTGCTATTAGCTTACTTTGGGCCACGTAAGATGCAGATATAGAGGAAGAGAGGAGAGAGAAGCCTGGAAACTCTGTAGGGTTAGTGTGGTGGAGGGAAGTGGGGCTTTTACTTTTTGCTACTTTGAATTTAAGTGCAAAATACATTTTACACTTAAAATACAGTGAAGTTCTTTGAATGGAATATCTAGGTAGAGGTTGTAGAGAATGGTATAAAAAAACATTGGTTTTTATAGCACTTTTGTCTGTGTTTTCTTTATGGGTTCTCTATAAATTTTTATTCTGAACATTGTTTCTTAATGACTTGACTGAATTATTTTAAACAGAGTTCCTCTTTTAAAATGATTAAGCTGAAATGTGTTCTGTTTTTTGACTTATAAGAACCTTGTTTTTCAGAACATAATTCAAAACCAATTTAACTGAACAAACAAAACATATATCTCCAATAATTAAGAAATACTATGAGCTAATGAAAGAAAATGTTGCCAAGAGACATATATTTTTAAGAGCAGAAGAGGATATGAAGTAAGGAAATGTTCCAAATGAGTAGCAGTGTTTATACACTGCATGGTGTTATTTTGATGGGCCGCTGAAGATTACATGTATAAGTTTTAGTAGAAGTATGAAACCATTACAAATAGTCATTTTGCTCTTTCTGTTTATGCTTAAAACATTTTTTTAAAATAAAAGGTTGGCTACTGTCAACACCACAATTAAAAATCATTAGTATTTTCTCATCTTTGTTGTTTTAGAGATAAAAATGTTATTCCACACCTTGAGTAGTCTGGAGGGAGTAAAAAAAACAAGTAAATATTTTCATTCCTCCTCTTGGTGTTTCCGGCAGCCATATGCATGAGAAATAATCATAAAGGAGGCAGAATGATAGAACAATAGAGTCAAAAATGGCCCTAGAGATCCGGAACAACTTTTCCTTAAGTTTGCCAGTGTTTGTGGTGGTTACTTTTATGAGGCAACTTGGCTGGGCTGTGATGCCCAGTCTTTTGGCTAAACACTAGCTGTTGCTTTGAAGGTATTTGTGGATATGATTAACATATACAATTATTTGACATTGAGTAAAGTGGATTACTTGCTAGAAATGTGGGTGGGCCTCATGAAATCAGTTGAAGGTCTGAAGAGCAGAAACTATAAGATTTCCTGAAGAATTCTGCTTCAAGACCACAACATAGATATCCTACCTGAGTTCCCAACTTGCTGGCTTATCTTTCAGATTTGCCAGCTCTCACAGTCACAAGAGCTAATTCCTTAAATTAAATCTCTACCTATTTATCTCTATCTATATCTAGATATAGATGTAGATATAACTGGTTCTATTTCCCTGGGGAACCCTAATAAAGTGGGCAAACTAAAGCCTATAGAAATTACATAATTTTCCTAATGTCATTTAGTAAGTGGTGGTAAAGCTGGTAATAGAAAGATGGGGAAACTGGTTGTAAAGTTGCCTAAAATATTGATCATAAGTCCAGGAAAGTAATTCAAAATTATCAACTTTCAGCCCTGTCTTTTCTAGTGGACTATATGCTGAGAAATCTAAAATTTTGTATGAAATCAATACATTAAAAAATCTGAAATTCAAAGCAGATTAAACAGGAGAGGGACTGTTTGCTTTACTAAACATTTAAGGTGGTTTCATTTAAAAAATGCTTCGTAAACTTTTATAGACACATAAGTTCAACACACTTGAGCAGAGCATGTTTTTCAAATGTATCATATTAAAAAATATTCCCAAGATTCAATAATTATTTCATTCTCTTAAAAATGAATACTTTATAAAGATATAAAGGGCAAAGAGAAGAAAATGTACATATGTTGTTATCTTATTAAAGAGAAATCGCACATTTGTATGATGGTTTGCTGCTAACAAAGCTTTTTCATATATATACCCTTTCCTGGAAGCCTCACCACAAATCTCTTGAGCCCTAGACCACCAGGGCTGACAGATACTAGTGTACTTGCCCAAACTACTAGGATACAGACTGATTCCCAGATCGGAGCACTCCTTCCTTATTGCCCTGCAGTGATGTCCACAGAGCATCAATGTTAGTCACAAGGGTGGTGTTTGTAGATCTCCTGACCAAGAATCCATAGTGATCTAAATAGTCATTTTAAACAAAAGGATTTGTGGTTTCTACTGTGTTAACAAGAATATTGAGATTTACCTTGAGAGAAAAATCCCAGTACATTTCTTTCTCATTCTTAAGATAGACCTACCATGTACTTTTCAAACTATGCATTGATTCTAGGAGAGAATGGAAAATTTGATCACAAAGATAAGGAATTATCTTTTCTGTCTTTCTCACAATGCTCACCATTTCCAATGAATATTCTTTGGGTTCTGAATCCTTGTACAGAAAGGATTCTTTAGTTGTTATTGTTTTTAATGGTATATGTTTACTGAAATGAATTTTCATTTTTCCCAACCTAAGAGCATTTACTTTAGGAAAAGGATTTACACAGCACTGAACTTTTACTGTATCTATGTTCTCTGGGTTGCAAAGACCCAACACACTTTCTTTTTGTATAAGCAACATTTCGCTGCTTATACATTCCTACTCAGGCCACCCTTGGACTCATCACATTTATAAGACTTGATTTCTCTCTTCTCATCTAATAGCAGGTAGGCCAAGACAGTTTTTTTGAGCCTCAATGAATTATTTGTCTTGAGAGGCACATCTCTCGAGTCTACCAGGCAACAAAAATTCAAACAACCACATAGATCATTTTGAAATAAATTCCACCAGATGATACTGGCAATAATTACGGCATGTTGCTGGGAAATGTGGTGATTTTTTTTCTAGTGTCAGCCTTCAGTCTTGTCCTGAGTGTCACAAAAATGACAGACAAAGGATGCAGGCAGCTTTCTCCATAGTAGTAACAGATTTCTCATGATCAGGGAAATGAAGGGATTGAAGTGCTTCTTTACCTTGAGATGTATAGAACAGGATAACAGGGATTAAATAGGAATCACCTAGAATTTACTGCTCTCTGCTGACAGCCCACTTGTCAACTACTCTAAAAATGCGCAAAGTGGTGAACAGAGACCACCATTTTGTTACAAGCAGGGCTGTGGGCTCCAGCTGAGGAAAGGCGCAACCTGTTGGTGCTCACAAAAAAGAAAGCTCGTTGTTAAGCCTCGAAAGTCGTAAAAGCCAGTATGAGGTCTCTTCTATGGGAGGCAATAGCATCCCAAAGTCTACTAGGATTTTAGGTTCAACCACAGACTGTCTTTTATCCAAACAAGACTGGGAAGTCACATCAAAAGGCCAAGCAAGACCGTGAGCACAGTAGCTGGGTGTACTAAGTTTAAATAATAATAATAATAATAAAAAAAGGAGTAGGGAGAAGCCAAGGAAAGCTGCAGAATGGCGAGAATCGGCAGAGACGCATGGGAGGGATGAGACGGAAGGAGGAGGGAGTGGGCAGGGGTGGGGAGAGAGGAGAAAGCCGAGTGCGGACGTCGGGAACAAAGCTACGGCGGAGTCTGGCGGAGGCACTAAGGGACCATGGGGTGTTTTGAATAATTATTAAAATTAGCATGTGTCTGCGCCATCCTGTGGGTGTGGCGCAGAGCGGAGTGTAAACTCTAGCGGGGCTGGAGCAAACATTGGATTAGCGGCAGCAGCCTGCCAGCCTGCGCGAGGAGCGCGGGGACCAGCGCGCACGCCGCCGGGCACCATGGCCTCGTCTCAGGGGAAGAACGAGCTGAAATTAGCCGACTGGATGGCAACTCTGCCCGAGAGCATCCACAGCATCCCCCTCACCAATCTAGCCATCCCAGGTAAGCGCGCAGAGGCTGCGGACGGGGCGCTCGGCGCCCGCTGCACCTGCCCCGCCCTGCTTTATCTGCCGCGAAGTGGTAACTTGCCCCGATGCCCGAGGGACGCAAAGTCGTCCCCACGGGTGGGTCTCGGGCCGGGGGAGTGCGTGCCTGGGAGGCTCCGGCCTCCTGGCGTTGCCCAAACCTCTGGGACCGTGGCGCGGCGGGTCAAGGTGACTGCTTTCGTCCTGGGCTTCTGAAGCAAGCGGTGCGGGGCTGGGGCAGGGGAAAGGCTCGGCCCTGGGACGGCGCCTCGCGCCCCTCCCACGGTCTTCCTCGCAGACTTGGGGGTGCGGGCGATTTCTGAGGCTCTGCGGTGATAGGGCGCATTGAGCGCGACCTGGTGTCCTAAGGGCTTGGCTCTGGCTAGTGGACCTCCGACTCCGTCCCTGTCACGGAATCGCGCGGATTAGGTAGATTTCTCGGTTAAACCCTACCCGAGTGATTAATATCCGTCCTCAGTCTCCTGTACAGAGACAAAGCGCTTCCTGAAGCACGGAAAGTTCAGGCACCGGCGGCGGCGGGATCGCTGCCGTTGACCGGGAGCCGGAGGGGGCCGTTTCCTGGTCTGCGTGGACCCGGAGGGCCTGGCCGGGTGGCCACTATCTGGATTCTGGTTCAAGGGCTGTTAGCAACGCACGGCGCCCACATCAGGAAAGCAAACCCTTGCGGACCGTGCGTTTGTTGCTCGGGACAGAAGCCGGGCAGGGGAACCTGCGTGAGCAGCGGCGGAGGGGTGGGATCCACACGCACAGCCTCGAAGGAAGGAAGCCTAGGCAAACCGAAGGGGACAGGAGGGATCCAGAGGCTTTGGCATATCGCGCACGACTTGCACCAGAGGACTGGGCAGGTTTTTGGGGCGGTAGCGCGCAGCAGCCCCTAGCTCAAGTGTGCAGGACAGAGGGTCGTTTGAAAGCTGTACCACCGTGACAGCTGGGGACACGACTGACTTCGTTACCAATCTGATTTTTCACTTGGGCTGAGGGTGTAGATGCTTGATCCTTCCAGGACCCGGCTAGAGGGCAAATTACCCACAGGTAGTCCACCGCTGGCCTGAACCGAGCCCGGTCATTAGGCTCAACCTTCGGGTGTTACCTCCTTTTGCTCTGCCCCATCCAGCGTCCCCTCTCAGCCACTGGGGAAAAACATGATTAAAATAAGAAAGAGAACGGTCCTGTTGAAAATCCCAAGGAGTTCTAACCAGCAGCGCTGGAATTGATCAGTAACTCAAATCAATGGTCGTTAGTCAAGTGGCCGCTTGGCTGTTAGGACAGGCATTGGCTGCACGCTGGGCGCCAGCCCCGGAAGGGAAGGGTTTGTTCCCTATGCCCTTCTTCAGGAGGTGGCTTCCCAAGAGCCCAGGTATCTCCAGGAAACAGAACAACCCAGCTCCTCAGCTCTGCACTTAACCTGCTACCTGGGTGAGCCAGAGGATTGCTCTTTTGAAGGATACTGTGGAAAGTACACAACTTTGCTGGCAAAATTCCACTCTCACTTCCACACGCATTCCTATCCTCTTTTCTTACTATTTGGTTTTCAGACATTCACATGTTCTTACCTGATGATTTCTGTACACATAGGAAGTAAAAAATGCAAGGACTCTGATGCCAGCCTTGTTAGAGAACTCTCCAGAGACACAGGGAATTTAAGTCTAAATTCACATTACTACTTCTCAGGGATGATATGATACCATGTCTGAATCTCTCTTGCATTTCTGTAATACTTCACTTTTCAAAGTCCTAGTATGTACACCAGATCACAGAATCCCTCCCCAAACCTCGAGAAAGAAGCAGGCTGTGCTGGTACTATTAACTCCATTTCACAGGTGTAAAAATTGCTGCTAAGTGAAGGCAAATAACCTATTATCAGATCAGTGATCTGATCCCTCAAGTAATCCTTAGGGAAGATCTAGGAATTTTGAATGGGAATGCTTTGGGGTTCATATATAGATGATTAAGTGGCAACACGTGCTAATCATGGTGAGGGAACAAGGAACTAGGCTTTAGCAGGATAAAGGGCAATTTTCCTTTTCCCATAGGGACAAAGTGGAAACCTGAGGTCAGAGACTTCAGTATTCTAGTAGACATAAAGGTGATGACTTTGGATGGATACAGTGGGAATTTCCACTGCTTTCCCAACCCCTCTGAGTATTATACTCAAAATAGTTCCTCTGCAAAGTCTCGCATTCTCACATCCATTATTTCTGAGGGAAAAAAAACCATGTATTTCACCAAATCCATACACCTGAATTTCTCCATGATTCTGTAAAGTAGGTTTGGTAGATCCACATATAGAAACCAGCTTTTAAAATGGATTTGGTACCTTTCTGCATTATTTAACTGTGAGAATTTTTGGAGGAAAAACAACATTCAAACTTTGATAGAGAAGACTAATTGGAGACTATTAAACACTAATGGAATAATTGCCTTAAAATCATGCTAATAGCTTCCTGGCTGCTACATGTTTACTTGGCCAGTTGCTACAGCCTGAATTAAGTAATTATCGCCGCCATTTAAAACCACTGCCGATGTACCGCACAAGTGTTTCTATGGAAGAGAATGGCTGCTCAGTCATTCTCAAGGCTTCAGATTTTCTTACGTGCAGCAACAGGAGTGAGGAGCTGCCTGATCATGAGGCTGCCACTTGGGGCAGCGGACCCAGATTATCCAGGGCTAGCACAAAGAACAATGTGCAGGTGTGTTACAGTGCCCACCAGGAGTGCGGTGCATCTCCAAACATTTCTCAGGGGCCCACATCTTGAATACTTTCAGAGTCAAATCTCTCAGTGGCTGTTTTACATTTAAATGGCCTCATGATGTAGTACTGACTGGCCGAGGGAATTAAGTACTTGGTATTAGAAGTTTTACTTTCAATTAATTTTTCAAAGGAATGGTACTGTTAGCACACATTTATCATTATTTCCCATCTCTTAGGCTTATTTATCATTTTTTCCTATCTCTGGTGACACCAAACTCAGTTTTCATTCATATGTGTTTAACAATATCCTGGCATTATGGAGTATGAATGAAGCTTTCTCTCACCACAAGCTGGTGAGGGGATAAATAGGGATGGAGGCATGAAAACAAACTATACAATTTAGGTGAAAGTGAGTCTGATGAATTTCTGGTATCTCTGAAACCAATTTCTAACTCTATGGTCATGGTGCCTCCAGAACTGTTTGGTGTACAAATACCCTTCATGGGAGCAAGCAGGCTGTTGCTTAATCTGGGGAAGGTGTCGGTGATCTGGGTGTGTGATAGGGAATCTTTCTCTCCAAAATCTAAAATATCAGGAAGGGTTTTTATTCCCGGGAGGAATCTGCAATGCATTTTCTGATATGTGACAGCAAATAGAACATGTGATAACAAAAGGTTTGCTGAAAATTTGTGGGACTGGAACCTCAGAAAAAGCATACATTTCCTTGGTGTTGGAGGAGGCCATCTAGAGGACATGACCCCTGGTTGACCTGTGAACTGGACCAGGGCAATCAGAAGCTCCGTACCCCTCCTGGATGGGAATAAACATTTGGCGCACCATTCCCACAGCTGGAGTAGTTTTCAAGGATGCAGCCTTGAGGGAGTAATGTGTTGTTAACACCATCTGAATGCTGCATGTGATTGAACCTAGGTAAGGCCTCCATATAAGCGTCTTTTTTTGGGGGGTATCATTAATATACAATTACATGAGCAACATTGTGGTTACTAGATTCCCTGGATTATCAAGTCCCTACCACATACCCCATTACTGTCACTGTCCACCAGCGTAGTAAGATGCTATAGAGTCAATACTTGCCTTCTCTATGCTATACTGCCTTCCCCGGGCTCCCCACCCCACATTATGTGTGCTAATCATAATGCCCGTTATTCCCCTTCTCCCTCCCTTGCCACCCACCCACCCCAGTCTCTTTCCCTTTGGCAACTGTTAGTCCATTCTTGGGTTCTGTGAGTCTGTTGCTGTTTTGCTCCTTCAGTTTTTGCTTTGTTCTTATGCTCCACAGATGAGTGAAATCATTTGGTACTTAATCTTTTCTCTGCCTGGCTTATTTCACTAAGTATAATACCATCTAGCTCCATCCATGTTGTTGCAAATAGTAGGATTTGTTTTCTTCTTATGGCTGAATAATATTCCATTGTGTATATGTACCACATCTTCTTTATCCATTCATCTACTGATGGACACTTAGGTTGCTTCCATTTCTTGGCTATTGTAAATAGTCCTGGGGTAAACGTAGGAGTGCATATGTCTTTTTCAAACTGCAAAACTGCATTCTTAGGGTAAAGTCCTAGGAGTGGAATTCTGGGTCAAATGGTATTTCTATTTTTAGTTTTTTGAGGAACTTCCATACTGCTTTCCACAATGGTTGAACTAATTTACATTCCCACCAGCAGTGTAGGAGGGTTCCCCTTTCTCCGCATCCTCACCAGCATTTGTTGTTCCTATTCTTTTCTATGTTGGCCATTCTAACTGGCATGAGGTGATACCTCATTGCGGTTTTAATTTGCATTTCCCTGATAATTATTGATGTCGAGCATCTTTTCATGTGCGTGTTGGGCCATCTGAATTTCTTCTTTGGAGAATTGTCTGTTCATATCCTCCACCCATTTTTTTAATAGGGTTATTTGCTTTTTAGGTGTTGAGGCATGTGAATTCTTTATATATTTTGGATGTTAACCCCTTGTTGGATATGTCATTTACAAATATATTCTTCCATACTGTAGGATGCCTTTTTGTTCTGCTGATAGTATCCTCTGCTGTACAGCTTTTTAGCATGATGTAGTCCCATTTGTTCATTTTTTATTTTATTTCCCTTGCTAGAGGAGATCCATTCAGGGAAAGGTTGCTCATGTTTACATTCAAGAGATTTTTGCCTATGTTTTCTTCTAAGAGTTTTATAGTTTCATGACTTTACATTCAGGTCTTTGATCCATTTGGAGTTTACTTTTGTGTATGGAGTTAGACAG